GATGGTATCATAGTAGTACAGCATCTAGCAGATTTGAAGATGTGTGTTGAGTGTCATGTTCAAGAGCCATACTTTTTCTTTAAAGGTATTTCGTTTGATGCTTAATGAACTTGCTATTTGAACTATTAACTTGCTACTGTTAATTTGCATCTTACACTCTGAGGGGCTTAATTTTGTGATTAACTGGATGTGGTAGATGGACTTAAAACAATTGAAGGAAGGTGTGCTGGTGGTGTGTACAACAGGTATGACTACTATGTGGTCGTTTAGACAAATTTGCTCTTCACTGTGTATCTTTTTAATTTTTTCCTCTTTTTGTTTCTTCGTTTAAATTTTTTTCCCTCATATTCATCATTTCTCATAGGTAGTTGGTAACTCGAAAGGCTGCCTGTAAAGAGGTTATACGCATGTTTTAAAGCCCAGCACGCATGTAGTGTCCAGATCAATTATGGACAGCATCAAAATGTTCCCAATTGCGAACTAAAGTATCACCCTAGTTTAATAAAGAGAGCAGTTTACATTGTTTTATCAGACAAAATGAAGAAGTAATAGGCAAAAATTACCAATTTCATAGTGATATTGGTAAAGGAATGAATGACTCTGGTGGATCCAACATAAACATTGTTTGGGAAGAACTGGTAATTTTTATGTCTGGAAATTGCCATCATTTTAATACTGGAAATTGCCATTATAATAGTTAGAATTTTTTTTGCCTGAGTGAAGTTTCAATTCGATATTTGTGGTTGAGGAAAATAAAGCTTTGTTTTTCCGGTATGCCTTATGTGGAAGATGAAGAACTTTGTTTCCATACTGTCATCCCAAAAATGCGGTTTTTCTAATTCATTTTACAGTCTGTCTTACCTGTTATTCCCCATCACGTTGCATCCAATGCCCTTTGAGAAATAATTAGCCTATGTTTTTCTAATTTAAAAAAAGATTATGGGTCTATGTTGATAGGAGGTTATGATGGGTACCTTATCCGTTTTCTTATCCACTGGTATAACTTAAACTTAATTTTAAGTTTGTCTTTCTTCTTAGCTAAGTATGTTTGCAGTTTATGCTTGTCCTCCTTGTTTATTGCTGATGACAAGTTGATTCTACAAGTAATTATTAGAGGCTCAGTTCTGTTAAAATCATGATACTTCTTAGTTTGACTCTTTAGTTTCCAATTTGACCTTTTCCTTTTACCGAGATGATTTAATGTTCTATTTTTGGTGTTTAATTGTTTTGTTTAAATTAGTCTTATTTTTTCCCCTTTTTAATTGTTTACTTGACTAGAATTGCACCGGGCACGTCGATTCTTGTAAATAAATGCGTGGCATTTGCAGTTGAGGTGATATAAAGTTGATGTTACTGCAATCACTTATCTTTCATATTTTGGGCTTGGCTTCAGCAATTTCTTTTTTGAGCAGGATGTTCACCAATATGCTTCATTTTCTGAGATGTTGGAAGCTGAGGGTTTAGCAAAAGTCCTTCCTGGAGTTGAAACTGTTGAGGAAGGTAGCGGCAGTTTATTATAGTTGGTGTTATTTTCGCTTTGATCAAATTCCATAAAAAAGAATTCCTTTGCTCCATTCTTTTAAATTCAAATATGCTACATTATGCTGTGTATGGTTTCTTGACATAACTACTAGAAGCTTGAAAGATGAATCACTGAAGTCAAATCCTGTCATTATTTTTTGCCTGGCTGGCATGAAATGCATAAAGCTTGGGATTGGGGTATTGCCAGGTAGACATGGGATTGGGGATTTATGGTGGCTATAATAATTACTAGGAAGCGATTTCAGTAAATACCTGTAGGGGAGATATATGTTTCAGTTGCATCTTTTCTGCGTGGTAAGCATGGCTGCATCAGATGTTGCTCAAATTAATCTTTTCCCAACTGGTAGCAACTTGTAAGAGTATATACATTAAGTTCCTTATTTGCCTTGGTTGGAAATCAATAAACTCTTGTTTGCTTTTCATACTTGCCTTGTCCCCTATTCTTGCAATTAAACTTCCGTTGGAACCTCAAAATGAAACTTGTCTCTTGATCTTGTAATTATTTTAAATTCTAACTAAGCAATAAGTTTTTCCCCTCATTTTTTCATATGTTTAGGTGTGCAAGTATATAGGAAGTTTTATACTGAGGAGAAGGAAAGGTCCAATGGTGTCATTGCAATCTGTGTTTCTAAATTGGCGGCTCAGCCCTACATCATTTTGGCGAGCTTATTGGCTGTGAGTTGCTCTCCTACACTTACGAGTTCAAGTTGTAACATAAAAGTAGAAGCTGAAAGGAGTCTAGTTCATGATTGAGTTTGAAAGACTGTGACATCATAATTCCTACATAACTTTTACTATTCTGTTTCTGTCCTCTTCTTTAACATATTATACAATCTGTTGGAAAATTCTCTTTTGTCTCAATATCGGGAATTTAATCTTCCAAAAATACGGGATATCGCTTAAGGAATCCCACTGATATGGATATTTGATTTAATTAGATTAGAACAACAGAGTTTGTGCCGTTGTTTCCCTTACCTCAGAGTTCTTCCTGTTTCCGGACATGTTTTTTTCCCCGCACATTTGTCCCTTGAAGCTGCTCCAGCATGTATCCGTCCTAACACACGGCTACTCTCCTGTCCATGGAAAAGTCCGCCCTGATGCATTATCTCCTTTGCTCTCGTTAGCTTTTTTTTTTAAAAAAAAATTTTGTCACCTTCTTGCTGCCCGGCTGATGCTGACCTCCAGTGCTGGCTCCCTCACTAGACTGAGTTCTCTGCCCTTAATTGCCAGGATCCTTGCCAGACCTCTCTGTTGTTGGATCCTTGGAGGAGAATACCCACACCCATTCTGGAGAACATACTAGAAACAAATGTCATTTTTCAACATCATTGGCCAGAATAGGGGAGTTCCAATAAACTGGTGGGAGAGCTCTAAACTATTTGGACAACATTAAACTGAATGGGAAGGGTTATCTTAAGTGGTTGCATATTATGTGAACCTATTTGAAGGAAAAATGGGAACTCAGTAATCTTCTAGAAACAAGGCTGAAGGAAGGAGATCCAAGATTTAATGTGTAGGGCAAAAGAGATTCAATGATAATGTCATGGTTATAAAACTCAAAACTTTTGAGATTGGGATACTTATATGTTCTTATTTATGACAAAAGAGATTTAAGATTTGACAGCGTATGCAAAAGCTTATGATGCTGAGTGTGTTAGATTAAATAAAACTAATACGCTAAAACAAAACAGTAAAGCTATTATCAAGTATGCAAATCTATTATAGAGCTTGTGGCAAGAACTTGACGATTACCAGTGTGTCAAACTAGGTGCACAACAAATGCTGAATTTTGAAGAATTTTACTAAAAAAGATAGAATTTATGATTTTTTTGCACCTCTCAATGGTAAATTCAATGAAGTCAGGTTCTAGATTCTTGGCAAAGAAGGGGGATCATCTCTAAATGAGTTTATTTCTTTTGATTTGCCGGAGGAGAGTTGCAGTTGGGTTCTGCTTGAACTCCAAGTCTTAAAAGGATCAATAGTGTGCCAAAAACAGGAAGAAGAACAAGGAATTTTTCTGGTGTACCTGTTGCAAGAAACCAGGATATGTTAAAGAGAAGTGTTGGAAACTGGAAACTGAATGGTATGGCACCAAATAGAGAGTGAGGCGACCGAGAAGGGCAACAGATAATTCAAAGCTAAGTCAACCTCACCTAAATCAGTCAAGTAAAGAGAAATCTCAAGACCAGTAAGGAGATCGATAAAATAAAGGGCTTATGGTATTATTGGAGAAGCCTAATGGTGCATGCTCTCTAACATTCTTAGGTGAGTTTTCTATTTGTTAAAAATTAACTGTTTTGCATAAACTTATTAGGAACCTATAGATTCTTAGGCAAGTTTTAGACCTATTGCCCAAGCAACTGAAAGATAATTGTTGCAGATGGTCTGCTCATTATCTCCAAGTTGAGAATGAAAGATGCATATTTACCACCTTAAGGGGGAGGGTTGGAAATCCCTCGATCTTCTGTCTTCCTAAAAACATGAGATACAAGTTATGGAATTCCTCTAACATGGGGAGTTAGTTTGATTTGGTTTACTGTGATTTCTCCTTTTTTCTCTTTGTTACACCTATATATATCCATGTATATGCTCATTCTCAATATATAAGAAATTCATTTTCTCTCTAATTTTACAGGAAAGTTACACGAATGTACTAAACACCTTTCTATCCATGCAGGTATCATTTGAAAAAATTCTCACTTCAAATAGAAGCTTTTTAGTCAGCCTAAGCACTATTGAAATTCCTAATATTTTATCTGAAATATTATCTAATGAGAAGTGAAAAAGATGCTATGAGAGAAGAGATGTAGACACGAGAGGAGCATTGAGCATGGGAAATTGTTGACCTACCACCTAGAAAGAAACCTATGAGATGCAAATGAGTGTTTGTAGTGTTGTACATGTAAGATAGCTCCCTAGAGAAATACAATGACAAACTCGTAGCAAAGGGATATATACAAACCAATGGTATGGATTACCAATAAATATTTGGTCCAGTGGTGAAAGTGAATAGGGTAAGAGTTTTGTTGTCTTTAGCGGTCAACTTTGGTTGGTATTTGAAGGAGTTTGATGTAAGGAGTGTTTCTTTCACGACAACTTGGAGAAAGATATATACATATATATTTACATATTTCTAGCGGATCTTGGTATATGCCAATTACATAACTATGACATGAAATGATGAGAAAGAGAGAAACATTAAGAAGATGTTAGTTAGAGACTTCGAGATTAAAAAAAAAAACATCTTTATTTCACAAGATATGTGATCAGTCTCCTAAGAGAGACAGGAAAGTTGGCATGTAAATCTGTCTCCACACTGATTGAGCAAAATAACAAAGTATGAGAGACAAGTGAAGATCCAGTTTCAGTCAGACAGATGTGCTGAA